AAAATTTCGATTTTATTATAAAATTATTATTTTATTATATTTATTGACGAATTAAGATTGATATGATAATAGGTTTCAACTAAAAAATTAAAGCATTTTACCTTGTAATTTATTAATTTGTTTACTCTAATTGTGTGTGCTGTTACCAGTCTATATTATTTCAAATTTTTTGGTAACACGTTGCTATATAAATAGTTTCTAAAAAAAATATTTTTAGTTTCACTTGAATTTAACAATAGATTTTTACAATTATAATCAAATTTTATAATACGCTCTATTCAGTAGATAAAAAAAAATTGTTTAATTGGTTCTTTTAATTAGAGTAGATCATTAAAATTAATTAAGTTCTGAATATTTCAATTGTAGAATTTTTTTAAACGCCAAAAGTTACCAGGAAATTATTACTATTATTCCTATTTAAGTAATATATTACGATAAAAATACAAAATAATAATGAGATTTTTAAAATTTACTATAAATAGTAATTATATTTCCTGACTGCATATTAATCTTAATAACAATATTTTTTTAATTCTCATAAAATTTTCTACTTAATGATACACCTATACTCCCTCTTATATGCTCATTCCTTATCATATCTTCCCTAGTCACTCCACTCATCCATCTAAGCATTCTCATCCCTGCTACATTCATTCTCTGCTCTATTTTCTTATCAACCACCCAACATTCTGAACCATACATCATAGCTGGCCTTATTTCAGTCTTGTAGAATTTACTTTTTAACCTTATTGGAATTCTTTTATCGCATAAGGCGCCAGACGTTTCTCTCCACTTCAACCACGCGCACTTAATCTTGTGTCTTACATCCTTGTCAATACAACCGCTCTTTTGCACAACTGACCCTAAATACTTAAAACTTTCCACCTCTACAATCACGTCCTCGCCTATTGTCACTGATCTCCTCATCGTTTTCTCCAAATCTATAAATACCATACACAGCTTTTTCTTCTTTTCACTAAACTTTTCTATTAGTTGCCTTACACAAAATAGTGGCTCTATTGTTGACTTACCAGGCATAAATCCAAACTGGTTTTTAGATACCGATGTCTCATTTCTTATTCTCCTATCTATTACCTTTTCCCAAATTTTCATACTATGACTCTTAAGCTATATGCCTCTATAATTTCCACACTCCTGTATGTCACCTTACCTTTACCTTTAAATATCGGCACCACAATACTATTCTTCCATTCATTTGGAATTTTCCCTTCTAATAAGATTTTATTCAAAAATTCTTTCAACCACCTTATGCCAACACCGCCTAATATTTACCGTACTTCTACTGGTACTTAATCTGGTCCTACTACTTTATTCTTTTTCATTGATGCCACAGCCTCCCATACCCCTTTCTCACTAATTAAATCTACCGTTTGCTCATTCCACGAGATATCCCTCTAATGTCTCTTTTGGGTACTCCTCAATCAGAGATTTTTCAAAATACTCTTTCCACTTAAATTTTTCATTAATAAAATTATTTTACTGTATAATTTTAGCTTCGATGCGAAGCTGAAAAGGTATTGGTTTTACTATGTTTTTTTTTTTATTTTTTTTTTTGTGTCTGTTACCACTTTTTCTCAGCTCTCACCGAACGGATTTCTTTCAATGATACGTCAAAAGATCACAAATTGTATCTAGTCGAAGACATTACCCTCAAAAATTAAAAAAAAATTCCCTCGTTCCCCGTAAATGGGGGAAACCTCCAAAAAAATTACAAATTTAAAAATCGCTAATTTTCGAAATTT